CAATTATCCTCAGCGCTCCCGCAGCAATCGTAGCGTCGCCAATTAACATGAAGACTACACGGGTGAAGCTGTCGTCTCCGTAGCTTCATCTACCGTGCAGGAGTAGACATTGCTAAGACTCTTCTGCTCTTCTTTCTACTTGTCGACGCATTTTTGGATATAAGCAGATCGAGAAAGAACATGACATTGGATGTTATGTTCTTTTTCGACTCTATTGTTGTGATTCGCATGCCAAGTATGTGAATCACAATAAGAAAATGACAATAGTATCGACATTGCTTATTTAAACGCGCCGCAGCCGTGCTGAAGCATCAAAAGCAATAAAAAGTTAATTGGAATGTCTGCTACTGTAATTTATTAGTTTTTACAGGCTAGAGCTTTTGAATTACCCAGCATAATTTTTAAATCTAAAAATGGCACCTCCTACTCATCGCTCGGCGCCCAAGCGTCTATCATTGTCTCCGCCTTTATGGAAAGACCAACTCCGCCAGCGATGTCTACAGCGCCTTAAGCGAGATCGGGTACAGCTGCTGGCCAAGTTACGACATCCAGACGCCTGCACGAGTGTCTCGGAGGAGATGCAGCGGCTCGTTGCTCACGAGCAGAACGTTTCGTCCTGTGCATCAGTGGACGATCTACTGCTACTGGGGAAAATGAGAGAAAGTGACTATTTGGAGATTGTTCATGCACTGGAGGACGCATTGCGACAAGACGAAGAGGAGGAGGAGCTGCAACACATGACTGACCTGGAAAACGCCGAGCTAGAGGCCATGCTGGCTGGAATGGACCTCAGGGACGAGCTGCAGGAGCAGCAGCAGTCAAATGTATATCGTGAATGTGGAAAGATGCAGGAGGTTGTGACCCAGGACATCTCGGTGTTGTGTCCTTATTGCAGAGCTGGCTACCTGAGAGAGGAGACGCTTGATGTGACGACAGTTCCCTTCATCGCATGTAATTGCGGCTTTACTTTTCACGTTCAGTACGTGTATCACGGCGTGTTAGAAGACTTTCAGGAAAAAATCGTCAATGCCTTTATGACACATCGGTGAGAAAGAGTTGGGTTTTGTGTGCTGTAGTCTAAAACTGACTGGGAGAGTTTCCTTTGTTTTTCTTCCACAGGAACTTGTGCTTCGCCGATCCAGTTTTCGAGAAGAAGGAAAAAGTGTCACTGGAAGAAGCGGACGCCCTTTGCATAAAGTGCGCGCACTGCGGCTGTGACGACATCCTGTCATAAAGCTTTTGTTGCTGCTGCTCCCGTTCCTGGTCGCTGTCTCCTTTTATTTATTCCTTAGTTACTTTACATACCGCAACAAGGATACGTGCCGTCTCGCTGAGCTGCGTGCCGCTTTTTCTCCTAAATGGACGGTAGGAAGTGTGTCGTCATGAGCGCTCCGATGAGCAGTAGCCCCAGCAGCCCTGGCGTGAGCAGCCCCCAGACCGGCCACAAGGCGCAGATGTAGCATGACGCGGCCACTGATTCCATGATGGTCGCCGCAGAGATTATTTTAGGGCAGTAGATGCTCCTCTTGAGCTGGATGCGTTTAATACAAGGCAAGTAGATAACCAGATACGCTATGATGCAGATGGTGACTCCCGTGCAGATCAGCGCTACCTGAAAGAACCCACTGTAGTATACATTACAAATTAGCAGCAACCTTTTCCAATGTTTCTGCTTAAGTGAAGCTGCAGCACCGTTTGACGCGCAAGTCCGTGTAAACGACGCGGAAGAAATTGGTCCCGTAAGCTACGAGTCCTGCGACCGCCATCCACAGACAAGCGTTAAGTCGCATTTTCCACAGCGTTGGTCGCTGCGACCGACTATCGCATTGCTGCTGCTCGCTGTCACTATCACTGTCATTGCCATCGCTCTCGTGGTGATGCGCAGAAGGCGCCACGCGCTGATACGGTCGGCCAGCCATATTCGGTCGTACTTAGTCGAACTACCATATAATTGCTAGCAAATAATATCGCCTGAATGCTATCATTATCTATTCAGACTACAGCAAAGAAAGGGTCGCTACATCGAGTCTCGTAACGATCATTGTCATTACAGTTTTCGACAATGCCGACATCGACAACATCCTTGTCAACCAAAATTGGCATCTGGCTGGTCCTTGGGTTTGGTGCAGCACAATTCTGGCAGTTGTAGCAACGAATCGAGTGACGTCAAGCACCGAGAAACCAGTACTAAATGGTTCATCCTATGTATAAGTGTTGTGTGAATATGGACTCGTTAATAGTCGTACCGTCAAAGCCGTATCGACGATGCTTCAACTACTAGCGGCTCACAATTTACTAACGACAATCACCACATTGCGACTCAATAGTAGTGCAAACCTCTTGAAACAACGCCTCGGTGGCAGCCTTATTAGTAGCACCATCGACCTTGCGGTCATAGTCGTAGCCGGGGATCCAAATGAGTCCGTCGTGAATAATCCGGACCGACACAGGTACACGACGGTGAATGAACTGCTTATAACCGCGTTGTTGCCAGCGCTCTAGCAGTAATTGAGCGTTGGTCGAAGGAGAACGGCGATGACCACGCATACTGACCCTCGGTTTGGCAGCCGAGATTTCTTGCTCAATGCGAAGTCCGTAGCCTATACCACTGCCGTCCGCAATTTGTTCGTCGTCCGGCACAAAATCTAGCGTTTGAGTTAGTGTGGCAACGAAAGATTTCGATATCTGGATGGGAAGTGGTAAGAAGACGGACGCTATGAGAGGGTGAATTTGCACGCACGAGACACTGGAGTACTCTGGCACACGGCGTAAATCCAAGCCCGATTGTTTGGCTCGCCGCCGTACAGCTCCTACAAATTCGTCTGCTGCAATTCCACTGCAAGCTAACCACCGCACATCCAGGTGAAAACAGCGCGAGATGTCCATCGTTTCTTCCAGCTGGATCATGACCCATTCAGTTCTCGAATCCTCCAGTTTTGAGGCAGATGACAATGAAACGGCCAAGGATGACGCTTTACAAACAATTTTAAAGCTTAGCATGCGATTCTCACATAGCGATGGGCCCTCATCAGTTTCTCGTGTAGCCCCTGGACGTTCCAATACCATATTAATACTGATATTATTAAACTCACCAAATTCCGATGGAGCGACACGAGATTGCAAAAATTCAATGAACTTGGTAAACTTCGTTGCGTATGCTGTCGAGGAATTATTGGCGACATCACTGCTAGAATCTGTAAAAACTGGGGGTACAATAGCAAACCGAATTCGGCGGCATTTCATTGTATCTGCCATATCATCAAGATAGCCGCAGAGCAAGTTGTCCAGGGCATTCCAGTTATCCTCCGGTCGCGGGTAGCGGTGAAATGTTTGCTGATGCGGTTGAAACGATTGAGTGAGTTCAACCCAAAGCGAGTAATTGTAGGAAGTGGAGGCAACTTTGGGATCATGTGGTTCACGCTGGACAAACCTCTTTACTTCGACCGTTTGCCGCTCTGCATCGTAAATGAGCTGGTGGATTCGATGCCCCATGCTCAAATGATACAATCTTCGCCGATTCTTAGAAGATGGTTCAATACCCATTAGCGACGCAGTCGAGTCGCAGGTGGACACGAGTTGAAAATCGCGGGCTAGCCGTTGGCAGATCATCTCGGCCAAGAGTTCGTCGTGATTCCGGTAGCGAGGTACGCTTTCAATTGCTGGTGTTTGCATTGCTGTCGTAGGAATCGTCAGTGTATAAAATGCTTCCGAGTAGCTCTGGCGTAGCTCATGCGGGGACGGGATATGGTCAGTCGTCAGCGGAAGTATAGCTGGTGACGTAAGGCTTGTCCAGTTTGGGCCAAGGAATATCGGTTCGCCAACTTCCGATGTAATGCCTGTAGATATGCGGTGGGCAGAATGAATTGAAGCAGGAAACAAGTGGCTCCATCGCTGTCTGTCATTCGATAAACGCTGGGAGCTTTGAGCTTTGGCGTACCGGAAGGGGTTTACAGCTGCCTTCCGCTGATCAATCGGAGTGAGTGCAAGTTCTGAAGTCGACATAGCCTTAAAGCTCAAACTTGCAGGCACCAACCTAAAAAAATTCGAGTGATTCTTGCGTGAACAATTCATAGGAGAGCTTGGGTTGCTGTAATGCCGCTGGTTGCTCGTCAGCTTATCGGTGTAGCCGTCCTTTCGCGGTTGCGAGAAGAATGCAATGGAGTGACTAGACGTTGATGGCAGCTCTTTGTTCATGGTCGCATTACGTGCAAGAGGTCGAAAATTCTCCTCTCGATTTGTTCCTGGGGTGCCATAAAGACTGATATAGCCCCGCCGCTCCACAGAACTCTTAAGAGTTACTTTCTGAGAGAATGACGGGTTTGCGTCGACACTTGCAATTGAGTGAGGCGGTATCGCGATGCTACGATCCGCTTGATCGAAGTTGGGCCCTTTGTTCGAAAGATTAAGTTTTAGTGGCGGAATCAGCGTCTGAATCATGCTGTTGCTTTCACCGGTGAGAAAAGAGTTTTCCTTTTGGAAAGTACTAGCGTTACCGCTAAGGCTGCGCTCTCTCGCGTGTAATGCTTCCTTTCGTACACTGCGAAGAAACCACTCAAGATGGCCATCGCCGGCAATGGTAGCGCTGGTGACATCTTCATGTTCTTTATGGATTTCATGAGGAACAAAACCATGCCGTCGATCGCAGAAGTTTCCACTGGCGGTACATTTACTGTCTCCCATCCCAGGCGAGAATACACTATCATCATACGCCGTGAGTGCGGCTCGCACGTGCAAAGTAGCACCCAGGTTAGTAGGAAATCGTGTTGATGCTAGAAAGGGATCAAAGTCAGGAGATCGGCTAAATCGCAATTGCTCTGGTGGGGGTGTTGGAGATGCCGGGTTAGGTAGCTCGCTCGTCTCGAATAGTGGCTGATTCTGACTTCCATTTACCTTGTTTGACAAGGAAGCTCCGGCGTTGTCGCAAAATTCTCCACTTTCGAGGTCATCATTGCTAGCCTCCTCGTCATGTTTAACATAAGTCGGTATGGCGCTAAGTCCGCAACTTGATGACGTTTTAAAATCGCTGCGCATCAGGTTTCGCAGCATCACCGGGAATGCTAGTTTCTCTGATGGCGCAGTAATGTCAAACATCCGAAATGATGGCAGCGGATTGAATTGCTGGTAACGTTTGAATCGGCAACCGTAAGAATGCCAGACACGGCCTTTATGCTGTTCAGTTGGCTCGTGCGGGTTGGTAATTGGCGTGGCAGTTGGGTTAGACGGGCTGAAGTTGTTGCTTGCTCGCCCACAGCTGCAATCGAAATCCAAGAATGTGATGTTAACCCAGTGTGGAACGTCATACGTCAGCTTTTCTATTGATCCACCGGATGGGTCTGCCACGACCGCGGTGTTATTGAGCGTGGCTGAGGCGGGTGGCGGATGGAGAACATCACTGCTAGCTCTTACCCACACGGGGCTTTTAGGCTGGGATGTCGAAATGAGGCTTGGAATGTCATGGAAGGACGCCGCAGTTTCCGGAGATGTTTTCGGCTCTACACCTGGAATTTCATTTAAGGAAAGTTTATGCAGGAAGCTTGCCGTCTCGAAAATGGTAGTTTCTGTCTTCAAGGATGACTGGTTGCAGTATATAAACAACGGAACCACATGCAACGGTGGCGTCGACAACGATATCATATCCATGCCCACTCCGCTGTCCATCATGCGCTGCTCTGTGATCTCAGCAAGTTTGCTGTTCACGTTGAAAATGCTGCATCCAGCTGTCATCATAACGATGCCCTGCCCAGTTCGGTTAAGGTCGCGATCCATGTAGTGCTTGTCCAGCACATTCAATGTCACGTTAATGGCTTCTAAAATGTTGCCATCTTTAGCTCGAGATGGAACGCCAGAAGGCAACTTTATCCATTTCACGTACTTCTCATTGCTGTCTTCGAAGTCCTCAGCATTGGCCTTTGCTATTTTACTCACCTCTCTCTTTTGCTTTGGACAACGACATATCTCGTACCGTGCTGGAGAAAACTCTTCTGGCGTACGCCACCGATGTTTTTCGTAGTAGCTAGCAAACTCTTTCTTGAGTAGTTCCAGCAGTCGACTCCAGTCTGGTCCTGTGTAATTCATGATGACCACCTTGTAGAAGTCCTCGTAGTACCGACCAGTGAGGGGATCGACGTGGATCGTGGGGCCATATCCTTGAGCCATGTTGACACCTGGTACGTAGCAACCAGGACCAAATCCTTGTCTCCGAGGGTCCGAAAAGGGTGGCCGTCTCGGATCAAACCCGTCAGGAAACTGGTCCGCGTCATAGTAGCTCCTGGAGAAGGCAATGATAGTGACTGAATGGCTTACGGAACACTCACTCCACTTGGCAATTAGTACCTGAAGCAGACGATTCAGTAGCTTTTCATAATAAACTTGTCCATCAGGAGCAAATTCCCACATCTCAGTGCTCATCTGCACTAGCCAAAAGAGGCAACTGGACCTTGAGCGTACGGCAATCTTCGTAGCATCTCCAATGACTCCACAATAAAGTCGTGTGTTACTAGTTAAAATAGCGTCCACTTGTCCACGTATACCAAGACATTCAACTGTTCTACCTACGTAAACACATTGTCCCAACATTGTAACTTTAAATCTCCAGACGTCGGCTCGTGATAAAAATTGGTCTTTGAAACTCAGTTCGACAAAGTCTACAGCCACATCTTGTTGTTCGACACGTCGTACAGTCACAGAACGAAAAGCTTCTAGTCCAAATTGTACTGCAATGTCTCTGGCCACACTCACTTGTACTTTACCTCGTACAGGGGTGAGGGATTTGACTGCCAATACAAGACGTGGGTGTATACGTTCCGGCTGTGCGATCTCTACAAGATCATGTAAGTTGATATGCGGAAATGTGTCTGGATTAAGTACCAAGAGCTCTCCATTACGAAACTCGGGTCCATGTACCACGAGGGACAAGGCGTCACGGTCGCTCGTGTTGCGACGGGTCCGCCACATCCAAAATCGACTTCAACTAGAAACTTGAGCGCTTATTGGTTGGATAGAGGAGTGATAGGATTGGCTAAAAAGGAAGTTTTTTACATTTAATTAATCTGTTTTGGAAGACGCTTTTTATGTCCATGGGACATACAAGTCGACTTCAACTAAAGCTCGAGCGTTTACTGGTTGAAAAATAAAGCCTTTGGATTGGCTAAAATATAGGCGTTTGCATGTACGTACACTGCCTCCCTCCTCATGAGCTTTGCTATGGACACGTCGCCTATGAATGCGTCAGCCGAGAGCGACGTGGACCTGATGCACACCATTTTGGGCGAGCATGTGCCACAAAGTGTCATTCTTACGTGTCTAAATGCCTGCGCCTTTGATGTGAGTGCTGCTCTGAACTGGTACTTTGCAGAGGTGGCATCGTCTCCTGCTGTTGCAATTCAATCTACTGATGTGCCTCCATCCTCCATCGTTTCGAATATCCAATCGGGTTTAAGTCTTACACTTCATGCACGTGCTGTAGAAGGAATGGTGAGCAAATCGGAGGCTTATTATGCCACGCTTACGAAAGGAGACCCGGCTTACGATATGCTCACACCAAGTAATGAAAAGTTTCTGACTATTCGCTTAAGAAAACGAGGATGGCGTACTGGAAAATTACTGGGATTACCTTCACCTGCCACTCAGCGACCATTTTTTGCCAATGGAGACGTCGTGACGCTTGAATGCAACGGTCTGTGGCTTAAAGCTAATTCCATTAACAAGATGCTGCAATGGAAAGCTCCATCCGAAGACGACCGCAACAAATTTGTGGTCAGAGGTCTTCCACTGGGCAAGAGCTTGGCACCAGGTGACTATTTCTTTCTTACGAGCTACAAGTGGAAGGACAAGGAAATCGTGTGCAAAGACGAGCGACCCGTTGGTACCAGCAGCTACAACACAAATGTACATCGATGCTTCCTTGGGCTTGAGCGTATCAAAACGTATGGCTGCTTACTGTTTTTTCTATTTTTCGTTGTGATACTAATTTTTTTTCTTGCCGCTGGAGGACAGCGCAAACCAGCGCTTGTATCTGTACGCAAAACTTACGTCCAATGCAGTCAAGAGTCTGTCGAGACCTGACGATCCGATCGATTTTGGCCACCTAACAATCAGCGTCATGGGGACACCCATTTCCCCGGGGAGTACTACCCCGCGAGAGCAAGCGCATTCGGTAAGTTATGCTGGTAATGACGAACGGAATACCACCTAATCATGTTAATCATGATTTACTACTACTTATCTGACGCTCCAGCGACGAACGGACTCGATCTCAGACGAAATTCAGTTTGCGAATGCTAAGATTGAGCAGATGGCGAACATTACTGGAACGGACGTGTCTCGAGATCGCCTCGCTAACTTTCTAGACGGTGCTGGCGGGGATGTTCAGGTCGCATTAGAGCACTATTTCATGAGTGTGTCCACTGCTGCGAGCAGCTCAGCGCCTACACAATGTGTCACATCAGTTTCTAGTGTACCATTACCAACACAGAGTGATGTCGCCGAGTCAGCAGCAGCTCTCGAGGAGGTCCAGGCTCGTGGTCATGCCGAAGCTCAAGCACACCACGATCGCTGCCCGCTCAGCCAGCTCATTTTGGGTATCCCCTCCATCTCTGAGACAGCGTTATCACCAAGCACGGAACCATTGTCGATTACCCCCCCTGAAGCAAAGGCCAAGTATAGAGCTATTGTAGATCCGCCGCGGCCGCCTTCGGTTGATGCCACAAGCACTTTGGTTGGAGAGCCGTCGCCCGGCATGCCGCCTCCTGTGCCCTCTTCTTGCCCACTTTCCTTTCCGCCTTCAATCGCTTCGATATCAAATAGCGGAATGACTACAGTTCCTGTTCCACTATCTGCCGCTGGTGGTGCCCCCGTGCTTCGAATTACTGAGGACGAGGTGTTGTTGGACACCACTGACTCCTCGAAACACCAGAAGCAAACGGGACAGCGAAGGACTGTGCTCGAACATAAAGGCGATGCAATAGCAGAGGTTGAAAGTGAACGAGCAGAGGCGCTTACAATCCAGGATTTTGAAATGCTGAGTGTACTGGGCAAGGGTAGCTTCGGCGCTGTGATGCTTGTTCGCTTTAAGAAGGATGGCCGTGTGTTTGCTCTCAAGATCATCAAGAAAAACAACATGGATCAGGCTGATGTTCAAAATGCTATGGAGGAAAGACAGATTTTGCAGCGTATACATCACCCTTACATTTGTGGGCTGGTCTTCGCCTTTCAGACCAACGAGCGACTTTATCTGGGAATGAAATACTATGCAGCTGGAGATCTCTTTTACCATCTCAACATCAAAGGCCATTTGGGCGTGAAAGACGCGAAGTTGTACGGAGCAGAACTTGTTCTGGCAATCTCGTATCTTCACGAATTAAACATTCTTTATCGCGACCTCAAGCCTTCGAATGTCATGATCGATTCTGAGGGCCACATCGGTGTAGTCGACTTTGGTCTGTCCAAGCAGCACATTTATGGTAGTAACTTTGGAGTCAAGACGCTGTCTGGCACGGCTGAGTACGTGGCTCCAGAAGCTCTTGCACAATCTGCCGACGGTTCTCGTAACTATGGCAAGGCGTACGATTGGTGGAGTCTGGGTATTGTTATCGTACGTGCTTGTATTTTTGTGCTACTATACTTTTTTGAATCATTGTTAACTTTTTTTTGGGTTTGTCGCTAAACAATGTAGTACGAAATGCTGGTTGGTGAGTCACCTTTCTACGAGGAGAACGAGCACAAGATGCTCAGCCGGATTGCATATTCGGACGTAGTATTTCCATCGGACTTTCCACGCGACGCGTACAAATTGGTAAAAGGGTTGTTGTCCAAGGATCCGAAGCAGCGACTGGGATCAGAGCAAATGGGCGGCGTGGATGCCATCAAAAGCTGTCAGTTCTTTAGGCATATTGAGTGGGACAAGTTGCTGCGGCGAGAAGTTAAGGCTCACTGGACTCCAAAGCTTAGTGGTGAGACGGATACAAGATACGTGGACCCAGAATTTATCGACGAGGGTCCGCCTTCAGCTGCGTACGATCCAAGCGCTACTTCTGGTAACTCTCGTAGCAAACGCTTTAGCCAATTTTCATTCAATTATAGTCTCGGATGAGGCGGAGTATACAAACAATTTTTTACGCAACAGCAATTTTGTATCTCTACAGGCCATCTTGCACCTTGCACAAAACAGACTCCTTGGAGTGCTCAAATTTCGGATTGGAGAGGCCAATTCATGAGCAATACCTGGACCTGCTCGTGGCCCTTGATCATTGCGTTCACGGTGCGGAAGATAGGCAGGTCAAGACCGCATTTCTTGGCGAAGTAAACAGCAACTTTAGCAGTCAGTACGTCCTCGACATTTGTCTCGTTCAACAAATCTTCGGCCTTCTGGCTCTAGATGAGGCGCAGACCAAAGGTCCAATTACGTGAAAGACTACCGAAGGCCGTCAGCATGAGATCCCCGATGCCCGAAAGTCACGAGATAGCATTCGACTGGCCGCCCATGGTCAGACAGAGCTTCTGCAGCTCAAGTGAGCTGCGAGTGACAAAGGCCGCGAGCATTTTATTGCAGTAGCCGGCGCCCTCGACCATGTCGGCTCCAATGGCCAGCGGGTTCTTGAGCGCGCCGTCGAGTTGCACGCCCACGATAAGCAGGGAGCTATAGATGCGGAAGTCGACAATGAAGAGGCAACGCTGCACGTAGACGGCATGATAGGTTATCTTGGAAGCCACAACAACGGCCGATGGCGCGTTATTCATGAGTAAGTGCAAAGGACGGACCCGAGAGGAAGGCGAGTAGTTGTTCTTACTGCAGTGCCTCAAGAATCGGCTCAACCAGGAGCTGCTTTGTCGTGAGATATAGTCCCTTGCACGTGATCACCAGCACATCCGTCGAGATATCGGAACGGTGTTGGGCCAAGAAATGGGCGTCAACTGTGCCGGCAAACACACAATCACCATCTTGGCGTCAGCGACGGCCTCGCGCACAGAAGTCGTAGCGCGAATATTTGGCAGTAGTGTAAAATGCAAGACAACGCGTGGACTGCGGTGTGTTTCGTTAATGACTTGCACAACGTTTAAGTCGCGTGCGTAAATCATAATGTCGTGCTTACGACGCGCTGCCAGTGTCGCCATCGCGATACCAAACGCACCTGCAGCAGCACACTTACCTTTACCTTTACCACCTCATCCGACGACATACTGGCTGTTGTTGCGTCATGTAAAGAGCTGCTTTCCATGCTGTCGGATTCAGGATAAGAGAGCCTTCATCAGGTGAAAAATGATGAATCTTCTGCATAAAGTACGATCTAGACAAGTGAGATATTCTATGTGAAAGACATCATATTTGCATATCTAACCAAGTATCTGCAGCCAATCGTTTATCTCTTTGCCTCTTGACCACATTTAAACTTTTACCATACAGTAGCATAAACATCTCCATGTTCTCTTCTCTCTTCTTCCCAATGACGAAACATGACGAGGGCGCGGCTTTGTGCGCTCTTAAAGTCGTTCCAGCACCGTCTTCCCGGCGGTGTTCACATTCAACGTTGGAGTGCGCCTCAGGCACACGCTGATAGCGCCAATCTTCTCTCTGAGGGAAGTCCCATTGTATACAACAGGGCTCGCTGCGCTGTCTCTCCCGTTCGGGAGCTGTGGGCCTCATAGAGCTTCGTCTCCCTTGTCCATATGAGTGCTACCCGTCAACTGTTGGTTCTCAACGGTTTTTTTGACGGGTCTCCTACTGCAGAGCGCGCGCGGGCCCAGAGCAAATGAAACTCAGCATCATAGTACCCGATGCGGCGCTCTTCCCGCCCTCGTGTCTCCAATAGCTGGCACATTCGGTAGCTACGTGTATATTTTGCATTAATCTAACTCACGCTCGAAGCACTTGTCCATGCAGCCGTCGCTTTTTTTAAATTGCCTCCTCGGTGGCCTGCGCTACCTGCCAGTCGAGCGACGACTGATGCTCTGAAACGGCGTTCGATGGGGCTGTGCTCTCTCGAGCAGTGCGGAGGAGGTGTACACGGAACATTTGATGGCGGATACGCAGTTCGGTCGGTGGAAGTGAAGCGGCAGGACCGCCTTACATCCGATTTATTTTTCACGCTCAGAGGGGTTTCAAATGTAAACGAGCTGTTGCTTTCATGTAGCTGTTTTGTTTATTTTAAGTCGGGGTAAGAAATTATATGCCGGCGTCTGTTTGACCATTGCGTATTTGGCTCAAAGTTTTTGCTTATTATGCAGCCATCGCTCTCTTGATTGTTTTCGTCTCCTTCGTATACATCCGTCCGACAATTGCAATTATTTTAACTATTATAGACTGGTCCAGTCTATACAATAGCTATGCAGCTATTGTGTTACAGCGACTGTCCATCGGTCTTGACACGTAATTTCTGACGCAACGGCAAGATAATCTCCGCCTGTTTGTGCGTACTTCTCGTCAACTTTCGTGGTAATACGAGACGAAGTTTATCAATACGACGGAAGCTGTAGAAACTCGAGCACCTGCACACCCATGTGAAAAACCTCATGCACAGGATATTTTATGCACCTTCACGTTGCAGCTTGGTACCGTTTTTACCACTGATAGTGTAGTATATCTTTCAAAAACGTGCACATCTTGACCATAGGTTTAAAATATATCGGCACGTAGTTAAATACTAAAGTGACCAAGGCTCAGAAGAGGTACCAACAGTCGCCCATCGCCCTTCATTGTAATCCATCTCGATTTAAGGGCTAAATTAAGTTAATCGTTTTCAAGTCGAGTTTCCGAAAATCCTAAAAATACTCAGGACATGAACTTCAATTATACTGCAACGATTAGGTGGTGGAAACAGACTGTCTATTTACCGTTTATGGTTTACAAGATTTCTGAAAAGTCCTCAGCCATTCCAGTACCCCCGGAGTTGTCTCCTGGCGGTTACGTGGGCTATGCAGTACCGGCTGCCGGATGTTGATGGTGTCTTGGAACATTTCCGTTGCTAGGCGAAGGTAGACGCCTTTGCTCACATCTTTATCCCTTCGTTGTTCCCTGATAGCGACCGCTCGGAGTTGGCGAAGAAGGACTTGTTTGACTTCCGCTACCTCTTGCTCCGTGGACGCACTTTCCTGCTTATGAATACTTCTGTTTCGCTAAATCCAGAGCATGGTCACGCATACGGAGCACGCTATCCACCATATTCTTTTCCAGGCCCGTCCAACGATATCAGTTTTGTCTGGGAACATATGCTCAATATCTGCCCGCACTCTCGGAGGTAGCTCCGGTGCTGAGCGCGATAACGCTGCTTGTTTGTACAACTCCATTTGGGCGGATGATACCTCCGATCGCGTCCACTGCGTGATGATGTATGCCCAAGACTTGGATGCTCCGACACAATCCCAGAGGATATGCAGGAGTCTTTCCTGTTGCCCGATGCAGGCCAGATGCCATTTGCACGTCGAGTCCATGTCGCGTCCCGGAAAGTACAGGTTCAACTGATGAGTAGCTACTCTGTAGCATACCCAGACCTGGTATTCCGTGAGAGTGTGTCCGTGATCCCAGAGTTGTGCCGGTGACTGCGACATCGGGAAGGTTACCGTCCTGTGAGCCGTCTCGTTGATGTAGCCTGGTAATTACCGCCGTAAGTGCTGGATGAAGCTTTCGTTTGGCGCGATGGAATGGTTGGCGTTGAAGCGCCTTGAATGCGTGCATGTTGTTGATGGAAGGTGGGAGACTCCATGGAAACCCATGTAGCAGCGGATGCGCTGTGAATACAAGCGCCGTGTTGCGTGTTTTCTGTTGTAGATCCACCAGCTCCTGTTGATCAGCTTCTGGCACATCGGTCATGTGATCAATGATCCAATGGAGTCCGTCGTTGGCTTGATGGAGGACGATAAGGGCGTGGTTGCCGCCGGCGTGTGCTTTCTGGCGCCCGTGTGTGACCCCCTGGTCCAGCAATGTCCAGGTGTACGTGTTCAATACCTCCGGCCCGTTCCGCAGCGTAAGCTGAGCCGGTATTTGCATTTCTTCTGCTTCGTGCAGATAGGGACTTGCCATAAGTATGGCTGTTGCCCATAGCCCTAGTTTAGGCAGCGTGTGGTAAGTATTCAGTTTCGTTGTTGGGACCCGAATACGGTAATTTAGCGTTGACACTCGCCGAATGTGTAGCTCAGCTAGCGTGCAGGCGGGTAGTAGTGGATATTTCTTTGTTGATAGCATAATCCCCTTGTCATCTATTATCCAAGGATTCTGATCCCACCTGTAAGTCGCCCAAAAGTCTTTGTGCTCCTGGGTGTACATGTTTGTAATAGTCGGGATATCTTCATAATATTGGAGAAGTAAATCCTGGTCCGACCTGGTGGCCACGAGGTGCGTCACTAGGCGCTTCAAAATTCCATCACGATGCTGTTTAATGATCGTCCATTCTTCTGACGTCGGTGCGATCCACGCGCTTAATTCCGCTCTGATTTCCGGTTGTGGAGCCATTAGCGTGCTGTTTCTACCGGCTTTGGGTGATGCCGGTGAGATTCTCCACATAGCTGAGTCCTCCATATCTTGAAATGACCACGCTGCCCAAGCATAGAAGTAGCGATCGCGTTTCTGAATCAGCCACTTCATCGCATGCTTAAGATTTTGAGTGCATATGGCGACGTCTATGGAGACGAGCCCTATCCCCCCGCCCCGCGTGGTGTGTATAGCAGGCCTGGATTGACCTTGTGTCTGCTGTTGCATGTAGACGTGGTGTGATGCCACATAAATTGCTTCTGTATGTTGTGCAGTTCTGCTCGAGCCCATTGCGGGAGCCGGAAGACAGCATTCAGTAGCAGTATCCTCACGGCGACGTTGGTTGAGAGGCTTGCCGCGGTGGCTAGACGCTTTCTGACGTTTCGAATCCGTAAGGCCCAATTTGCGTCAACCAGGTCTCCAGTCCCCACCTGGTACCCTAAATACCTAGTCGTTTGACCATGACGGAGTACTGGAATTCCTTCATAATCGGAGATTGCGACCGCTGTATTGAGGAAAATCAGTACACTCTTTGCTGGTTGTACAGACAGCCCTGAGAGCTCCCCGAAGCGATGAACGATGCTCATTACCTCCGGTATCTGCCCCGCGTGGTGTAAAAAAACCGTCGAATCATCAACAAAAGCGGAGAATTTTTGTTCCTGGGTAGGAATGCCTGGATGCCGCAACCCCCGTATCTGGGTACTTTGCAGTAGTGCGATTGCTAGTATTTCTGCCACGAGAAGAAAAAGTAGTGGTGCTAAGGGACAACCCTGACGGATGCCCGTGAGTACGGGAATCGGGTCGGATAATATCCCATTGACTACAAATCGGGCGGTAGTGTTACGGTGGAGGTTCCGAATCATTGTAATGAAGGACTTCGCAAACCCGAAATACCGCATAACTTCAAATAAAAAATCGCGCGAGACCGTGTCATATGCCTTGCGAAAATCCAGCAATAAAATTGCTCGACTATCCGCAGGCTCCAGGTCCGGTTCGTGTTGCGCCGTTAAAAGGTGTGCCATCATCATCATGACTGTTTTAGACATTTGTCTTCCATGTACAAAACCTTGTTGAGTGTCTTGGATAGGAAGCCCTAACACTTTTTGTACGCGATGAGATAGTACCTTGGCGACGACTTTGTAGCCTGACTGTAGCAACGCTATCGGTCGATAATCCATTGCATCTGCCGAATCCCCCTTCTTCCGGAGCGGGATGATTAATCCCTCCAAAAAGGAGGCTGGTGGCGTTCTTCCCTGCAGTATGTCGTTGCCTATCGTGACGAGTGCCGGTGCAAGTAGTGCTTGATAGTCCTTAATAAAATCGTTGTTAAGCCCGTCCGGCCCAGCCGCTTTATGTCGGGAGAGCGACGTGGTGGCCCGGAGGACCTCTGCCAACGAGATAGGTTCCATGAGTATCTCGTTGTCGTCCTGGGTTAGGATACGATCGGTTGGCATGGTTATAAAGTCTTGTAACGCCTGTTTGAGAGTTGCGGCGGGTACAATACTGTGAATGTGACAGAGAATTGGCCGCCACTCGGATGCGAAATGGTTTGCAGTTGTGTCTCCTTTGCGGAAAGGCTGCCCATTGATCCGTCGCAGCCCGGAAATGGATTGGTCTTTTTCCCAGTTCGAGGCCCGCTTGAATTGCCATCGCAGACTATCCATAGTCCGTTCCAGGCGGAGGCCCTGTCGAAGTTTGTGCCAGTCGAAGCTCCTCTTCAATTGTCTGTATGAAACTCTTTCGCGTCAGCAGGTGCGTGCGGGCCTGAGCCTGGATTCTCTGTCGGAATCGACGTGCCCTCTGCGTTTCCTTTTTCGTTATTCGACGGATACTTGAGCCGCAGTCGAGAACCGCTTTGTCCCATGTCCTCGTGTTGACTTCCCGTCCGACCTCCCGACGTATTAACTCCGCTAAGCTCGTCGTGGACTCGCGCTGGCGTCTGCGTTCGAATGGGATAGTGAACTGGCTGGGTTTTATTTCTTTGGTTCCGTCGCGGTCCACCGACCGCAACTTGCAAGATAATTTGTTGATGGTCAGAATGAAACACAGGCAGTTGTACTTGTACCTGCTGGACGACCGCTGTCCACGACGTGTTTACATAAAATCGATCAATCCTGCTGGCCGACCGTGCATTCCAAAATGTGTAGTAATCCACCGGCTCCGGTACTTCGTCCTCCATTGCCGAAGCCGCCAGAGTCTGAGCGTCTTCGAGTCCTAAAGCTTGAAGTAATGTCTCCAACTCCGGGCTTTCGGGACGTCCCGACCGCAAACCTCCCAATCTGTCGAGATGGGGACTCTGGACACAATTAAAATCGCCAAAGAGCACCACCTCTAATTGAGGCCATGGCCATTCCCGCATGAGACGGAATAGACGTTCCCTCTCCTGTCTGTCATTAGGAGCATATACGTTGACAAGCAAGATGGAGTCGACTATGACTGCTATCACCCGTTTAGACCACAGCTCCGGGTGCCACCGTTGGCACACTTGTTGCTTACGCGGGTCGAGTAGGATGGCTACTCCCCCGGTCTTATCGGCGCTAACGCTCCAGTATGATGATTCCGTGTGACAGTCCGAATATTGCGCACCCCAGTTGGTTGACCACGAGTCTGCTGCCTCTTGGGCCGCGCTCTCCGAATCAATGTGTGTCTCTTGTAAACCCCACGCAATGGTATTGGTTCTTTTACTTTGTACCCTCCAACCGCTCATCCATTTGTGCCGGTCCACCCGTTTAAAACCCCGGACATTTTGTGAATGGTACATTCCTGTCCCCCGTCCGTCCGTTTGTTTGGCGACGGGAGAGGCATCGGGAGCGAAGAGCTACTTGACGTTAAGGTGTTCCGTATACGCGTCCCGTCCAAGCTCCGCAGCTGTAGGCTCAATACACCAGGCGTCAGCCTCGGTGCCCTCAGTATTGAAGAGTCCGTTGGACGGACTCGTGTGCGAGGGATGTCGCAAAAAATGCGTGAAGCACGCTCCAATCCTGCAAGGTAGAGGCGTCCTGGAAGGCTCGTCGATAATCACCGTGCGACCGGCTTGCCTCTAAATGGCGCCTGATCCTGTCAGGTACCGCTTCATCCGCCTCAGCCGGTTTTCCTGTCAAGGCTTTGATATCTACATTGTGTAGGATAGCGCAAATAGTATGCCATGCAAAACTGCTTTTTTTTGCAACGTCACAGCGGCGTAAGAGGTCGTCACTGCCATACCCGCGTTCCCGTAATTTGTCCCAGTCATCCCTGTTGTCGATCAGCGGCGCTAAAAGTGCACTACCTGATAGGCTAGTCGTTCGTGCCTTCCAGTCGTCGAGCCACACTTGTGTTGGGTGGTCAGTTGTCCGATTTCGATACTCCATGAGCCCCTGATACATGCAGTCCTGTCTCCACGCAGCCGTCCAGGCTATTAAGACCTCGTCGCTTAGGGCATTGAGGAGATTATGCTGGAAGGGAAAGTGCTGGAGCAGCTGCATCAGCTTGATCGGTTCTGCAAGCACTGCACGGCGCCACTGCTCATTGCTGCTGTCGAGCGTTGGAAACTGTACCCCAGAAGCTGAATGCCACGTCTCGCTCCAGGATTGCCACATGTCCTGCCAGGGTCCATTCGTAAGCATAGGAATCTCCGGGCGAGTTAGCGCTGCCTTGCCTCCCGCATTGCCCTTCCCTTTCTTGAGCACTAGTGCGGTGTGCTTATTTTTGGTTTGACCCTTCTGCCTCTCCGTTCCGTCCGGTGTAGTTGGACGTGCCCGTTTGTTTGGCTTGAAACGATTGGGCGTTTGTGGAACATGAACGACTAGCTGTGACTGACCACTAATTTCGTGCTCCTTGCTTTGATCTGGTCTCGCGTCACGGACACCGTGGCAACCGTGACTCCAGGTCACAATATCTTGTTGATTTTCCTGTGCTCCCCGGTTATTCTCTGGCTGATGCAGATCATTCTCGTGACGGAGAGTTCGCCACTGTTGCAAGATACATGGTTCGAAATGATGCTGCTGTTGCAGCTGGATGACATCAATGTTGGTGGCATCCGTTGATATCCGTTATTGCTATCCGTTCTTGGTCGTTGTGCGAGAGGTCCGGTACTGTAGACGTGAGAAAAGTTAGCAAATCGAGGAATCGCTTGGATCATCGCTTTGCAGAATCTGATGAATGTCTAGTTTGAGCTGATGCGGGACGGCTAGTTCCTGACAGCGCTCATGCAGCACGTCCAAATGTCCGTCCCCCAGTTCCACATACCAGGGGTCAAAGGGACCCACGCTCATACTCTCATCCGTGAAGTCGTAATTTGCGCCTTTTTCCTCCGTCAGTTGCTCCTCCCCAACGTCAGTCATGGCCACGTCCGAAGTACTGGATGCGTTAAGTTTTTGTGAACCTGTTCTGATGGCCGAGCCTGAATCGGTGGTTTTAAGTGTAGTCCTCTGGTGAACGAATGCCGAGTAATGTCGTCCTTCGTAGTGTAACTCTAAAGGCGATTGACCGGCCTCGTTTAGCTTGTCCTGGGCAATGAGTCGGCCACATTCCGCCGCCGTTAGTATCAGTTGTTCGCCTGTCTCGATAATTTTGTTGTTTCGACTCATGGAACTCGGCCTGTACAGGCTGCAGTGCCAGTCATCACTACCTTCCCCACCCTTGGCAATGACGTAAATGTTTCTGCGTAGAAAATTAGCCGCCATGCAGAGCGTTTCACATCCACCCCAATTGTGGACGTGAACTTTTGCGTTCCTCTCAGACGGACTCTTGCCGTATTCCTCCAGGTACCATTTAAATTGCTTCTTCGACGCTAATGGCTCCATGTCCGTCCATCCTCGTTGCACTGCTATGAGTGTGGCTACTCGTGTGTCATGCGGAAATTGCTCCCCAAGATGAAGCTGTCCTGCATGCTTGATTCCTCGTTTAAGGCTACCCGTCGCTGCAGCCAGCTGGGTGTCCTGTGCCGCTAAGTCTGTATCACATAACGCTTGCACAATGGCCATCGCCATGCAGTTGCCTGTTGCCGGTGTTGTGACTGCTCGAAGCTGGAGCTGCCCGGCCATGTCGTCGACGGCCCGGAAAGCGGTGTCAATCGGCTGAATCAACTTGACCAGAGGTTGTCTTTACGTCTGTGAGGGTGCGATGAGGCCAAGCAGATGAGATCGTTCCCTCTGTAAAAGCCCCATTAATTGGGGCTCCGCTAGAATTGGCGGTGGATTCTTCTTGAGGATCCGTAATTGTGACATCTCCGTTGGTGTCCGGACCGGTGTCTCCGTGATCACCTCTGTGACCGACACCTCAATAATTTCGGACTCCTCTCCCCGGAGCCCCTGCATCTCCTGTTCCTCATCTACCCCTGCTTCAGTCTCCTTCCCGGAAAGTGCTTTATAACGAGTTGAAACCTCGGCGTGTTTCCGTGCTGGCTTGTTCTTGTATTCAAAGCGCCGTCGTCCAGCCCTTAATGGTACTGTAATCCATGTGGCTTTAGGCTTCGGTTGTGGTGGTGCGTCCGTGGGGACGGAAGCTGTAACTTCGGTGATGTTGTCGTCAATGGATATCGGCGGTGAGGACGCCTCCGCGCCTACTACTGGATCGAATTCGGTACGGTCCTCCGCCGTTGGCTGAGGTTGAAGCCCGCGTTTTAAAATCTCTGCCGTCTCTTGATGAATGTGTCTTCTGGTGGCCGCCGCTGCCTTATACTGCAACGATTATTATTTTGCTCCGTGAATCCCATAACGGCACCCTACACAATTAAAGACATGAGATCCTTTCACTCGCATTACTGCGCGATGGTATTTATAATTAGAATGCTATTTTTGGGAACCAGACTCGAGGACGAAAAGTATTTAGGGAAGACGTCTTCAATGTGACGCAAAAAAAGAATGAGCATCCGATGCTTTGGCTCATGGGAAGTGTCTTCATAAGGCAAGACCTTCTTCTTCACTTTTGAACTCGCCTCATTACCAGCAACTCCAACACTTCCACGCCTTATATCCGCACGTGCACAATGATTTATCCCAAAACTTTTCGGAGCATCATTGCGCTTTCAACTGTAGCTGTAGCCGCCCAAGCTAATGAAGTGAGCCAGCATGAATCAATTAATGGAGCCAAGCGCGACAAGGCTGGACGATACATTGATACAACGGACGTGTACGGAACTACCTCTACGAGTATGTCAGCCCCGTCTGCATACGTTCCTGCTGCTACCGCGAAAACCCAGACGGGTGCAAAGCTTCGTAAGGTTACATCTCCGGATAGCGCAGGCGGTAAGTTTTCTTACGCTAGCCCGACCAACGCTGTGTCAGCGGGGAATTCTAGATACGTCACCGTCGTCGGCCATTCTTCGTCGCCAAAAACTATAAACGTCAAGGATGACAAGAAAAACAAGAAGAGTGCCAAGACCAATGCAGATTTGGCACATCTTGTCCACAAGAACAACGACAAGAAGAGCAACGATAATATTGTGCGTACTGACAGAGACCACAGCATGAATCCGTCTCGTAGCGCTTATATTGCGCCGATTACTAAAGCCCTGAAGACACCCGCGCCGTATGCTCCAGCTTTGAAGACACTTGCATTAATTACTAAGACCTTAAAAGCACCTGCACTGATTAGTTCGGGTCCGACTGCAGGTGAGCCCGTCACTCCGGCCCCAACAGTAGTTGGCTCAGCCACTTCAACTCCGACGACAGGTGAGTCAGTCACTCCAGCTTTGGTGACGGAAGAGTCAGGAACACCAGATCCGGCAATGGAGGAGCCGGAAACGCAATTCTCGGACTATGTTGATGCATACGCTCCATTCCCGTCGACAGATGAGTCAGCCACACCAGCCCCGACAACAGATGACTCAGTCACCCCAGCGTCAACTGCAGGCGAGTCAGTCACCACAGCCTCAATTACAGGCGAGCCAGTCACTCCGGCTCCAATTGCAAGCGAGTCAGACATTCCAGCCCCATCAGTAGTCGGTTCAGTCGCTTCGAATCCGGCTGCAGTCGAGTCAGTCACCCCGGCCTCAATTGCAGGCAAGCCAGTCACTCCGGCCTCGGTAGAAAGTGAGCCAGTCACTGCGGCTCCCACTGCAGGTGAGCCAGTCACTCCAACCTCGTTGACGGACGAGCCTGTCACTCCGGCCCCGACGGCAAGTGAGCCCGTCACTCCGGCCCCAACAGTTGTTGGCTCAGCCACTTCAACTCCGACGACAGGTGAGTCAGTCACTCCAGCTTTGGTGACGGAAGAGTCGGGAACACCAGATCCGGCAATGGAGGAGCCGGAAACGCAATTCTCGGACTATGTTGATGCATACGCTCCATTCCCGTCGACAGATGAGTCAGCCACACCAGCCCCGACAACAGATGACTCAGTCATCCCAGCGTCAACTGCAGGCGAGTCAGTCACCACAGCCTCAATTACAGGCGAGCCAGTCACTCAGGCTCCAATTGCAGGCGAGTCAGACATTCCAGCCCCATCAGTAGTCGGTTCAGTCGCTTCGAATCCGGCTGCAGTCGAGTCAGTCACCCCGGCCTCAATTGCAGGCAAGCCAGTCACTCCGGCCTCGGCAGAAAGTGAGCCAGTCACTGCGGCTCCGACTGCAGGTGAGCCAGTCACTCCAACCTCGTTGACGGACGAGCCTGTCACTCCGGCCCCGACGGCAAGTGAGCCCGTCACTCCGGCCCCAACAGTTGTTGGCTCAGCCACTTCAACTCCGACGACAGGTGAGTCAGTCACTCCAGCTTTGGTGACGGAAGAGTCGGGAACACCAGATCCGGCAATGGAGGAGCCGGAAACGCAATTCTCGGACTATGTTGATGCATACGCTCCATTCCCGTCGACAGATGAGTCAGCCACACCAGCCCCGACAACAGATGACTCAGTCACCCCAGCGTCAACTGCAGGCGAGTCAGTCACCACAGCCTCAATTACAGGCGAGCCAGTCACTCCGGCTCCAATTGCAGGCGAGTCAGACATTCCAGCCCCATCAGTAGTCGGTTCAGTCGCTTCGAATCCGGCTGCAGTTGAGTCAGTCACCCCGGCCTCAATTGCAGGCAAGCCAGTCACTCCGGCCTCGGCAGAAAGTGAGCCAGTCACTGCGGCTCCCACTGCAGGTGAGCCAGTCACTCCAACCTCGTTGACGGACGAGCCAGTCACTCCGGCCCCGACGGCAAGTGAGCCCGTCACTCCGGCCCCAACAGTTGTTGGCTCAGCCACTTCAACTCCGACGACAGGTGAGTCAGTCACTCCAGCTTTGGTGACGGAAGAGTCGGGAACACCAGATCTGGCAATGGAGGAGCCGGAAACGCAATTCTCGGACTATGTTGATGCATACGCTCCATTCCCGTCGACAGATGAGTCAGCCACACCAGCCCCGACAACAGATGACTCAGTCACCCCAGCGTCAACTGCAGGCGAGTCAGTCACCACAGCCTCAATTACAGGCGAGCCAGTCACTCCGGCTCCAATTGCAGGCGAGTCAGACATTCCAGCTCCATCAGTAGTCGGTTCAGTCGCTTCGAATCCGGCTGCAGTCGAGTCAGTCACCCCGGCCTCAATTGCAGGCAAGCCAGTCACTCCGGCCTCGGCAGAAAGTGAGCCAGTCACTGCGGCTCCCACTGCAGGTGAGCCAGTCACTCCAACCTCGTTGACGGACGAGCCTGTCACTCCGGCCCCGACGGCAAGTGAGCCCGTCACTCCGGCCCCAACAGTTGTTGGCTCAGCCACTTCAACTCCGACGACAGGTGAGTCAGTCACTCCAGCTTTGGTGACGGAAGAGTCGGGAACACCAGATCCGGCAATGGAGGAGCCGGAAACGCAATTCTCGGACTATGTTGATGCATACGCTCCATTCCCGTCGACAGATGAGTCAGCCACACCAGCCCCGACAACAGATGACTCAGTCACCCCAGCGTCAACTGCAGGCGAGTCAGTCACCACAGCCTCAATTACAGGCGAGCCAGTCACTCCGGCTCCAATTGCAGGCGAGTCAGACATTCCAGCCCCATCAGTAGTCGGTTCAGTCGCTTCGAATCCGGCTGCAGTCGAGTCAGTCACCCCGGCCTCAATTGCAGGCAAGCCAGTCACTCCGGCCTCGGTAGAAAGTGAGCCAGTCACTGCGGCTCCCACTGCAGGTGAGCCAGTCACTCCAACCTCGTTGACGGACGAGCCTGTCACTCCGGCCCCGACGGCAAGTGAGCCCGTCACTCCGGCCCCAACAGTTGTTGGCTCAGCCACTTCAACTCCGACGACAGGTGAGTCAGTCACTCCAGCTTTGGTGACGGAAGAGTCGGGAACACCAGATCCGGCAATGGAGGAGCCGGAAACGCAATTCTCGGACTATGTTGATGCATACGCTCCATTCCCGTCGACAGATGAGTCAGCCACACCAGCCCCGACAACAGATGACTCAGTCACCCCAGCGTCAACTGCAGGCGAGTCAGTCACCACAGCCTCAATTACAGGCGAGCCAGTCACTCCGGCTCCAATTGCAGGCGAGTCAGACATTCCAGCCCCATCAGTAGTCGGTTCAGTCGCTTCGAATCCGGCTGCAGTCGAGTCAGTCACCCCGGCCTCAATTGCAGGCAAGCCAGTCACTCCGGCCTCGGTAGAAAGTGAGCCAGTCACTGCGGCTCCCACTGCAGGTGAGCCAGTCACTCCAACCTCGTTGACGGACGAGCCTGTCACTCCGGCCCCGACGGCAAGTGAGCCCGTCACTCCGGCCCCAACAGTTGTTGGCTCAGCCACTTCAACTCCGACGACAGGTGAGTCAGTCACTCCAGCTTTGGTGACGGAAGAGTCGGGAACACCAGATCTGGCAATGGAGGAGCCGGAAACGCAATTCTCGGACTATGTTGATGCATACGCTCCATTCCCGTCGACAGATGAGTCAGCCACACCAGCCCCGACAACAGATGACTCAGTCACCCCAGCGTCAACTGCAGGCGAGTCAGTCACCACAGCCTCAATTACAGGCGAGCCAGTCACTCCGGCTCCAATTGCAGGCGAGTCAGACATTCCAGCCCCATCAGTAGTCGGTTCAGTCGCTTCGAATCCGGCTGCAGTCGAGTCAGTCACCCCGGCCTCAATTGCAGGCAAGCCAGTCACTCCGGCCTCGGTAGAAAGTGAGCCAGTCACTGCGGCTCCCACTGCAGGTGAGCCAGTCACTCCAACCTCGTTGACGGACGAGCCTGTCACTCCGGCCCCGACGGCAAGTGAGCCCGTCACTCCGGCCCCAACAGTTGTTGGCTCAGCCACTTCAACTCCGACGACAGGTGAGTCAGTCACTCCAGCTTTGGTGACGGAAGAGTCGGGAACACCAGATCTGGCAATGGAGGAGCCGGAAACGCAATTCTCGGACTATGTTGATGCATACGCTCCATTCCCGTCGACAGATGAGTCAGCCACACCAGCCCCGACAACAGATGACTCAGTCACCCCAGCGTCAACTGCAGGCGAGTCAGTCACCACAGCCTCAATTACAGGCGAGCCAGTCACTCCGGCTCCAATTGCAGGCGAGTCAGACATTCCAGCCCCATCAGTAGTCGGTTCAGTCGCTTCGAATCCGGCTGCAGTCGAGTCAGTCACCCCGGCCTCAATTGCAGGCAAGCCAGTCACTCCGGCCTCGGTAGAAAGTGAGCCAGTCACTGCGGCTCCCACTGCAGGTGAGCCAGTCACTCCAACCTCGTTGACGGACGAGCCTGTCACTCCGGCCCCGACGGCAAGTGAGCCCGTCACTCCGGCCCCAACAGTTGTTGGCTCAGCCACTTCAACTCCGACGACAGGTGAGTCAGTCACTCCAGCTTTGGTGACGGAAGAGTCGGGAACACCAGATCTGGCAATGGAGGAGCCGGAAACGCAATTCTCGGACTATGTTGATGCATACGCTCCATTCCCGTCGACAGATGAGTCAGCCACACCAGCCCCGACAACAGATGACTCAGTCATCCCAGCGTCAACTGCAGGCGAGTCAGTCACCACAGCCTCAATTACAGGCGAGCCAGTCACTCCGGCTCCAATTGCAGGCGAGTCAGACATTCCAGCCCCATCAGTAGTCGGTTCAGTCGCTTCGAATCCGGCTGCAGTCGAGTCAGTCACCCCGGCCTCAATTGCAGGCAAGCCAGTCACTCCGGCCTCGGTAGAAAGTGAGCCAGTCACTGCGGCTCCCACTGCAGGTGAGCCAGTCACTCCAACCTCGTTGACGGACGAGCCTGTCACTCCGGCCCCGACGGCAAGTGAGCCCGTCACTCCGGCCCCGACGGCAAGTGAGCCCGTCACTCCGGCCCCAACAGTTGTTGGCTCAGCCACTTCAACTCCGACGACAGGTGAGTCAGTCACTCCAGCTTTGGTGACGGAAGAGTCGGGAACACCAGATCCGGCAATGGAGGAGCCGGAAACGCAATTCTCGGACTATGTTGATGCATACGCTCCATTCCCGTCGACAGATGACTCAGCCACACCAGCCCCGACAACAGATGACTCAGTCACCCCAGCGTCAACTGCAGGCGAGTCAGTCACCACAGCCTCAATTACAGGCGAGCCAGTCACTCCGGCTCCAATTGCAGGCGAGTCAGACATTTCAGCCCCATCAGTAGTCGGTTCAGTCGCTTCGAATCCGGCTGCAGTCGAGTCAGTCACCCCGGCCTCAATTGCAGGCAAGCCAGTCACTCCGGCCTCGGTAGAAAGTGAGCCAGTCACTGCGGCTCCCACTGCAGGTGAGCCAGTCACTCCAACCTCGTTGACGGACGAGCCTGTCACTCCGGCCCCGACGGCAAGTGAGCCCGTCACTCCGGCCCCAACAGTAGTTGGCTCAGCCACTTCAACTCCGACGACAGGTGAGTCAGTCACTCCAGCCTTTGAAGGCAAGCCAGACACCCCGGTACTATCGATATTAAAACCACCCACGCCAGCCCCGACATCAGTCGCGCCAAGCCTTCCGGTCTCGACGAAGAATGTGCCCACTACTAGAATTCCAACAACTACTGCACCGTGCCCTCCAGCCTCGAAAAAAGGCAGCCAGACGCCTACAGTGAAACCCGTTGTTAAACCAAGCATCAAACCGTACTCGGAGTAAAGTGGAACATATAGGAGCTACAGGTGATAGAAAAATGATCACCACCACAGCATGAATCGATCATGAGTTTTTCAATCAATCTCATTACATGACATTTCTATATAAAGAGCTTTATCACAGACAATTTTTATGAAATAGCATGACGAGACCCGATCCACTAGAGATTCTAGGTAATAATCCGACAAAATAATTATTGCAAACCCTATTGCAATAACATACCTTTTATTAAGCACCAAGAATATTTGACCATGACGGTTTATTTGCCAAAGACCAACACCACATACAAGGAGAAGAAATACTGGGACTCGCGTTTTGAAAGGTGCTTGGTCAGTCTGATAATGTTCTAGAATTTGCAAAAGCTGACCACTGCAAGTGTCACGCAATTAATGCCATCAATTCTGTGGTAGCGAGGAGTTATACGACTGGCTAGCTCGTTTCGAGAACGTAGCAGAGCTGCTGAGTAAATATGTACGACCGTCGGACCGCATCTTGATGGTACGTGACCTGGCAATCGCTTGCCGGATAAACAAATAAAACTGACGAGGCAGTGAGTTTGTTGCGGTCTACAGGTTGGCTGCGGTAACTCGACGTTTAGCATGGACATGGTAAGAGCCACTCTTCTCTAAAAACGATTAAACGATCAAATCTCACCATTTCGCCCTCGTCGTGACAGTATAATGCAGGCTTTCATCACATAACTAATATTGACTTCTCCAAAGTCGTCATCGAGCGCATGAGCGCTAAATACAGCGTGAGTTGATTGCCTCTCTGTAATTAATAAGCACCAAATAAACTTGTCGGTGACTGCAGGATGAGATGCCCCGGATGAAGTGGCTCGAGGCGGATATGACCAAGTTGTGCGACGTCTTCGCGCCCGAGACCTTCGACGTGGTCATTGACAAGGCTGCCATGGACGCACTCATGTGCGACGAAGGCGACGTCTGGTCGCCATCGGAAACGGTGATCGAGCAGGCTGCTGCCATGTGCAGTGGCATCACGTCTGTGCTGGTCCCACGAGGAACGTTCCTGCAGATCTCATTCGCGCAACCGCACTTCCGCAAGCGCTTTCTGCTGGGCGAGGGCGAGCAGGCGGCTTCCAGCGCAGTCTATGGCTGGGATTACTCTTACCACAATATCGGTATGCTTATTGTTGTTTCATCTCCACTAATGGCAGCCGAGTATTAACTGCAGTTTTTTGTTGGCAGATATCGGTCTTGGGTACTTCTTTTATAAGCTGGTAAAGAGCAGCTAATAATTTCTTGCTTGGTGATACCAGCCAGGTGTGCTGAAACACAATAGAACTGCATTTGATCTTTTCATCAACGCATGTGATGATAGGTTTTACTTGAGACAGTATTCATTATGACTCAGTTGAAGCGACCATGCATTCCTATTGGCTTGCAGGATCAATGGCGGATTACACGATGCGAATCATCGCAGTCTCCCAATCTGCTTGCTCATTGTGTAATCTACCATCGATCCTGCAAGTCTTTAAGTGGTACGACGACGCAAACACAATGGAGTATTCACACGATTACGACCACAGCTACAGCCATGAACCCGGTCACAGCCATGAACCCGGTCACAGCCATGAACATGGTCACAGCCACAGCCATGAACATGGTCACAGCCACAGCCACAACCACGAGGACGCCATTGACGGGGACGAGTTAGTGCACCAGTTCACGCAGAGACGCGGCCGCGTGCCGACTCCTGACGAGGAGCAACAGTTGCGCGTGCATGGTCACACGCACGAGCACATGGAGCACGCTGGCGTGTTTGACAAGCGCGACGCATCCAAGTCCGAACGGGACTGGAAACAGCGAGCTTTTACTATAGGTATCGGTGGCCCTGTGGGCAGTGGCAAGACGGCACTCATGCTGGCGCTATGTCGCGCACTCAAGGACAAGTTCAGTCTAGCCGCCGTGACCAATGACATTTTCACGCGTGAGGACGGCGAGTTCCTCGTCCGTCACGACGCTCTGCCAAAAGAACGCATCCGGGCCATTGAGACGGGCGGCTGTCCCCACGCGGCTATCCGCGAGGACATTTCGGCCAATCTGCAGGCCTGCGAGGATCTGACCGACGAGTTCGGCGCGCAGCTGCTGCTGGTGGAGTCAGGAGGAGGTGCGTGATCTACAAGAGAATGGCCATCGTTGAGCTGCAGACGTAAGTTTTAACTGTCAATATGTACTTGTGTTACAATGCTGTCCATAGACAATCTCGCCGCCAACTTTAGCCGCGAGCTGGCTGACTACATCATCTACGTCATCGACGTAGCTGGAGGTGACAAAGTACCTCGCAAGGGCGGCCCGGGCATCACGCAGGCAGATTTGCTGATTATTAATAAGATCGACTTGGCCCCGCACGTGGACGCGGATCTGGACGTTATGGACCGTGACGCTAAGATCATGCGTGGCAAGGGGCCGACGGTCTTTTCGCAGGTCAATCAGGGCAAGGGCGTAGAGGACGTTATTGGCCATATATTTGAGGCCTGCAAAACTGCCATGTAGGAGTTGAACGATTTAATTAACGAGGCGTAGTCAACGTTTGACGATTTTCGATATGACAATCGGCTAATGTGTTGAGATGGTGGTTGCATTGCAGCAGTTTATATTGGCTAAGGACAAGGGTTCAACCGATATGAGAGCTTGACGTGTCACAGGATCTTTGTCCAAAACACATTTACGCCACGACGACATAAGTTGCAATTGACTCTCATCCTGCACTCGCTCGCAGCCGAATTTTCCTTACTGTTTTCGAAAACATTCTGGACGCCAGGTCGCATACCCAGCTGTTCATTGTAAACAAAATTAAAGTGGACGAGAATGTTATAGCACGAAGTCTCATATGTTGAAGATGCTGCAATGTAGCCATATTAAAGCTATCCAAACCATTATTGAATTTGCTTATGTTTATGAATAAGGACACGAATTCCAATGGCAGCGACGACGCATTCGTTGCCGCCTGGCGTCCGCCTTTGGAAAATGAGTCCTCGACATTCCGCCTCCAGACGACACTGCCCAAGCTACCGATCCCCAAGCTGGAGGAGACGTGCCAGCGCTTCTTGGCGTCCGTCGAGGCGCTACAAACGCCCGAGGAGCAGCAGCTAACGGAGCGCAGCGTTCAGGAGTTTTTGGCTCACGACGGACCACGTCTACACCAGCAGCTTTTGAGCTATGAGAAGGATAAAGTATCCTTCATTGAAGACTTTTGGTACGAGGCCTACTTGAACCATCGCAGCTCTGTCGTACTCAACGTAAATCCCTTCTTCGTACTGGAGGACGACCCCACACCCTCACGAAACAACCAACTCTCACGGGTCACATCTCTTGTCTTAGGCGCTCTCAAGTTCATTAATGCACTACGGAGAGGCACCCTCGAGCCAGACATGTGGCGAGGCAACATAGCACTCTGCATGCACCAGTACAAGCGCCTCTTTGGCTGCGCACGCGTGCCATCGGCTGGTGTAGACAGCGTCATGGTAGACAAGCTGTCCAAGCATATTGTGATAGTCTGTCGCAACCAATTTTACTGGTTTGACGTCATGTGGGAGGACGGTGTCACAGCCATCACGGAGAGAGAGCTGCTAGCCAATTTGCAGGTCATCCACGAAGACGCACTGAAGATCGATGATGTGGAGGCGGCGTCTAACGCTGTGGGCGTACTCACTACGGAGCGTCGTGCCAAGTGGGCCAGCCTGCGAGCAAAGCTGCAAATCAAGAACAAGGACACGCTGGCCGTCATCGACCGCGCGCTGTTTCTCGTGTGTCTAGACACCACGTCACCTCCGGATGCCGCAGCCTTTGCTGCTACGGCACTACACGGCACCTACAGCATTACCAAGGAAGGCGTACAGACTGGTACGTGTATGAACCGCTGGTACGACAAGCTTCAAATTATTGTGTGCGAGAACGGCGTGGCCGGGTGCAACTTTGAGCACGCGTTCGTAGACGGTCACACGGTGCTCCGCTTCGTCTCGGACATGTTCACAGACACGATCATCCGCTTCGCACAGACTATCCGTGCTGGCAGCTACGCTTTCTTGGAAGCGTCATATCGCGCGCCGCAGCTGAGCCCAGCCGACGCACCTGATCGCCCGCGCGTGAAGCCGCATAAGCTGGAGTGGGACCTAGACCGCGAGCTGCAGAAGGGGATCAAGTTTGCCGAGGCGCAGCTAACGGATCTGATTCTGCAAAACGAAGTCAAGGTACTCGAGTTCACGGCGTTCGGCAAGCTTTTCATCACCCAGCACAAGATGAGCCCGGATGCCTTCGTGCAGATGGCCTTTGTAGCTGCCTATTACTTCCAGTATGGCAGTGCACCGTGCATCTACGAGCCTGTGCTTACCAAGCGCTTTCTGCACGGTCGCACAGAGGCTGCACGAGCCATGACAGTCGACGCGCTCGAGTTCGTTAAAACCTTCTTCTCAGACAAGACGCCGCTCGAAAAGATTGGGTCTTTGCGCAAGGCAATTTCCTCACACGTCAGCAACGTGCGGGACTGTGCAGTTGGCAAGGGTCCCGAGCGCCACCTCTACGCTCTCGAGTGCCTGTGGCAACACGGGAAGGCCGCGGACAGCAGCAAGGTCATGCCGGCACTCTTCGCGGATGACGCATGGCACAAGCTGAACCACTCGGTATTGTCAACGAGCAACTGCGGCAACCCAAGCCTGCGTTTGTTCGGTTTCGGTCCTGTAGTGCCCGACGGATTTGGCATCGGCTACATTATCAAGGACGAGGGTATCCAGTTTTGTGCGTCGTCGCGGCACCGCCAGACTGAGCGCTATCTCAAGAACCTCGAGTCGTACTTACTGCGTGTGCAGGACCTGTTGATGCACGAAGAGGAGATCCGCTTCCCACACAGCACGGCTGCCAAGAAGGAGACGGTGCGGACGTTATTCAAGGGCTACGGGTTCTTCGATGACGGTGGTCAGCCCACAGAAGCCAAAGTGCTGGCGTCCATCGCCGCAGTCGGAAAACCGCTAATGTAGAGAAAGTCGAAGGTGGCAGATATTAAAGAGCAGGAATCTATTATCATGTGCACCTGTTAGTCACTTTCTAACTCGAGAAATCCTTGGCTGAATCCCGCATCGAAGACTTCGACGAAGCTGTAATGATTGCGTTGGCCCAGAGCAGAGAGCACAAAGCTACTTACGTGCAGCAGTGCCTCAATGTCTGCCGCGTTATCGCTAATGTAACGGGGTGAGCCCGTTACATAATATTGACACTTATATGAAGTGTCAATAAAATATTATTATAACGAATAATATTTGACAATATTATCTTTTCTTATAATATTGTCCCTAGATCTCCTTGAAGTTGGAGATGCCCTCTAATTGGTTGATATGGGCCATCGTATCAACCAACGCGCTAACCAATGACCGATGGACGCGCGCAATGAGTGGAGGGCAAGTTGTCAACATACATAGTTGTAGTTTAATATAGTTAACATAGGTTATAACAGATAAGTGTTATTAAGTAGTTAACTATATTTTATACAGTTCTCTTTTCCTCTACTTCTAAGCGTGACGTTTAGAAGTAAAGCTTCCTCTGCCTCTTGTGTAAGAGAGGTAATTGAGGCACCTGCTTTCACTGTCATCACTGAAGGTAGACTATACTGTTATCAGTGGTGCCCCATTACAGCTAATGTTGCCCTTTATCCCGGCTTGACGTTGCTGCATGACAGGAAACAGAATGTAACGGGCAAATAGTTGCACGGGTAAATGATACTTGACGGGGTGGTCTAACAGGGTACGTGGTACCTTAGACCTCCCAGCACATCAATCTGACCCACCCTCGTGAATGTAACTTCCATTGATGGATTCACAATCGACATGAATGACGCCGTCATGATGACGTCACTGGCGGACGTCATCAGCGAGCTTAATTATATTAAAGCTCACACGTAGGAAAACACATCCAAAGAGGCGCGTATCCGATCTTTGCATAATTAACCAGTCAGCAGTAAGAGTTATATTTGATTATGTTTATTAAACATATGTCACTCTTATATTTGCTAATTATCACTCACTAACACGAAAAGCTGAATAACCTTCTGCGTTTTAAAGTGAAGCTCTTGCTAGAAGCTCGTTGCGTGGTTCGCTACGGAGACCGGCAACAATTGATATGACCGCGTAAAGCGGTCGACCAAGCACCCCACTACCGCGCACGGAGGTTTGACGATTTAACCGCTTACTCGCGTGCTTAAAAGTGCGGTGGATTGAATTCTCAAACAATGTAAGAACCACAAACGCACACAGCGCCGGACGATGACTTACGGAGGGGGTACCCCGATCCCGTGTCGCGTCAACCTTGGTCTCACCTTGTGTACCCGTTGGCTTGGCTGGTCTTGCTGATGCAAAAGACTTATTAAAGACTTAGGATTTGTATGGAGGGACTTGGGGGCCCACGAGTGGATATACTTCACTCGAAACCGGGTTTCTTGGGCTTAATCGACTGTGTCGAGAGCAATGCACCTGGTACTACGTACACCTTTCGATGGCTGACTGTTCTTGGTCTTTCGTCCCCTTTCCTTGTTCCCCGTAGGAAAAATGCTTCCTGTAGCGGGTTGTAGAGTCTTGACACCTCGGGCCAACTATCCTGAGGTTCAACATGCGTAACTTTAGTCGTCTAACACCTGCTGACGTCGGGCCAAAAGGGTATCCCGCCCGGAAGAGGTGGAGCGACGTAGAAGCTAGGGAGAGGCGCTTAAGGCTGTCACGTGTAAAGCACATTCGAGTGTGTTTATTATAATATTCTTTGTATACTTCTGTTACCTAATTATAACCCTTCCCTCTGGATGATGCCACGTGTCAATTCGCAAAAGAAGAGCTGGCTCTTTTAGGACTCGGTTGTTGTACCGGCTGTGCATGGTAGGGAAATCTTGTGCCTTAATTGGCCTCAGGACCCTGGACCACCTCGGGGCACTGGACCTTTGGGATCCTGGACCTTTTTATTCCTTCGAGGGAGTGACCTGGACCTCTCACGGCAATTATAAAATAACTGCGAAGGACCTTAATTTTCCTGGCGCTTCCCCACAGTTGTCCTCTGCGCGCTGGTCTTCCGAATTGCGGCAAGACTCCGTGCATTTTTGTCCTGTGTCCTTGGCGTAGCAGTAGGTTTCCATATATGTGACAGCCAGTCGTATTCACCTACTCACAAATCTTTTATTTTCCAGTAATCTCTTTCAATTCCTTCTACGACTAGCCCCCAGCCCTGGCCGTCGGTCTTCCCCCGCACTGCCTGGACCCAACCCTGTTTTGGTCGTTCGACTGTAGACCCCGTCTGGGAGGCCCCTGATTATGCGAGTGTCGCTCAGGCGTGGGGGTTATCAACTGGCGATGGAACGGACCCAAGTCATCTAGACCCTCGACTAGCCGTGTCTATAGTTCCACTGAAGACGAGACCAGTAGCAGCGATGAGTCTCTGCTAGCCGCGATGGCCCAGTCGTGTGCCTCTCGTCGTCGTTAAGGTCAAATGGCTTCTGTGAAATAACTTGATCCAGAGGTGATGGACTTTTCTGGTTAATCCGAGTCTGGCTCTTCTTCGAGATCGGCGGGAAAATCAAGTCTGAACCTCCTCCAAAATATGCGGGTTCTACTGGGACCACTCAAATCTGGTCTATCTCCAAATTTAGCGGGGTCTATTGAAAAATCCAAATCTGATCCTCCTCAAACATCGGTGGGGTTTACAGGGATATTCAAGCCTAATTCTCCTCCAACATTGGCGGGGTCAACTAGGAAATTCAAGTCTAGCCCTGTAACTGGGCTAGAACGTACCGTCACTAGCTTACACGCGCGCTCGAGGAAGACTCAAGCCCGAGTATTAGGTATTAAGTAAATTTAACTCTGATTTTTATTTTGGTTTTAATTCGTACTAATTACAAAGATTTTGGTCGTAATAAATACGACAGTGTTCCCGCCTTTCGGGAACCACACAATTTCAGGTTGATTTATCATTGGTCCATATTGGGACTTTTAAGCCCAATAATAAACCAATAATAAATTGTCACGCTGTACCCGCTATTCGGGCCCAGCACTTGTCTACATATGTATTTATTTATTTGTGTTAACTATGTGTGTAATGTAGCCCATTACATCACCCCCTTCTCATGACAGCACTCACCAACCGTGAGTGCTCAACTGTCGAAAACCCGTCGCTCACAAACGAACAAGCAATGTCCGGAGACCCAACACCCGATCCAGCAGCACTCCCAAGAAACATCAGCGGGAGTGCAACAACCAGCATCATGGCGCGGCAACTCATACCTTGGTCACTGTACGACTTGTTGGATTGAAAAGTATGAGCGAAGTCTGAGCGAACAGAGAAGCGCAGTTATTCGTGGTGCGCCTCGCTGGCAGCACCACTCGCGACAGCGGAGTCAATCTCCGCGGAATCATCAGCGCAGGGCAGCGACACGTTCGCCTGCCCGTCCTGCTGCGCGATTCTTGCCTCGCAACCGTGATATGTATTCACCACGACGTTCTCGTTCACGGCATCTTTCTCGTTCACGACATCGTTCTCGTTCGCGTCATCGTTTTCGCTCTCGACGACGTGGGTTTCCTCACCGTTCTCGTTTGTCACGAGAGCGTTCGCGTGCTCGCCCGCATTGTAATAGCCCGACTTCGTGTCTTCATACGACAGAACCACATCTGGAACGTCACGAAGGAGTGAGGAACGTGGTTCCCATGTATCCTGCTCGGTAAAAAATCCAAGCCAACGTAGTCGGTACCTGCGCGCGGATGGAACCGCGCGCTTCTCATGAACCGACTGCAGTGCTGGTTGTGGAGGGCCCTCGTGACCCACAATGCGATCTACAATCCAGCGCACCTGTCTCTCCGCATCAACAAACGGAGGTGGGCCCTCGCGATGGTAATGCTGGCGTTCGGGTTGCCCAAGACGATGTTGATCAGGCCGTGAACAAAGCTGCCGATGCTCAGCTGGAGGCTGAGGCTGCCAGTGAACGTGCTGACCGGGCGGAGAAGACTGTGAGTGAGAACAGACAGTCGAACCGTGAACTTCTTGAACGGATAAGGGTTCTGGAGCGCCAGGTGCTTGGTCATGTACGCCGATTGCCTTCAGAACCTTGAATGGACCAATGAAGCATGGTGCGAGTTTACTCGCGCCCAGGTTAGTGACCGCTGAATCCTTTAGGCCTTCAGAAGACAATAATACACGATCGCCTTTTTTCAGACTTGCTCATGTTCTTTCTGCCATGTTTGTCAGCGTTCTATTTCTGTTGGTCTAGCGCAGACTGTAGTGCGTCGCATACAATCCGGGTGATGGCTTGACGTTGGAGTATAAATTCCGACACAGCCATGTCATCAATTGGTCGCGCCGACTCAATCGGCGCGTAGTTGGCAGTAGGCGAACGCTTACTTGAAGACGGATCAATCAATATCTGCGCAGTCCATCGAGCTAATGGAGACGATACGTCTGATGGCGTCAAAGTAGCCGTCTTTGCCTTGGATCGGGTTACTACATTCGCGCTCAAAATACCGTGAGCTGCACTCGATCCTTGTTTATCACCTTTATCCCCCCCAGAGTGGAGCCACTAGGTGTTGTGGGTCGCCCCACGTCCAGGAAAGTAGGAGCACGAGGGTGACGAGCCGAATTCACAAAGAATGGCGTCAACCCTGTTGACACGTGTACGGCGTTATTGAGTGCGAACTCAGCGAGTGGTAAAAATGCACTCCAACTTGTAAATGACGTAGTATAACTTCGAAGAACGTCTTCAAGGACCCGGTTCACGCGCTCGGTATGCCCATCCGTTTCCGGATGGGCCGCAGTCGACATCAGCAGTTTTGTCCCGAGGAGGTCGAAAAGTGACGTCCAAAATGCGGACGTAAATCGCGGATCACGGTTCGAAACAATGTTTTCTGGAAGGCCATGATGACGGAACACCGCGTCGATGAAGTGCGCCGCGGTCTCTGCCGCGGTGACCTTGGCGTGAACAGGCACGAGATGTGTCATCTTGCTGAATCTGTCAACA